ACAAGGAGGCGATTCACAAATGCGATAGCGTTTGCCTATAATTCGCCCACAACAGCCTCTATTTTTGTCTTTGATTACAATAATAATCAAGGGTGTTCTAAAGTATGTACTATTGCCATCAAGGTAGAGCTAAAATCACGAGCTTTAGTTTTGGCGCCTGTCGTTCAAATATGCACCAGTAGTTCCTCCTCTATATATTGAGTGCCTCACAAAGAATTCGGGAAGCAATGAGCTGCAGACGGCGAAAGTGCAAAGTTCAGCAACCAAATGTGCCACTAAAAACCAGGTAATTCAGATCAATAAATGGATGAATGTGTGGCATTCATTCATTCGTTTTTGTTGTTATGAGCACGCTAGCAATACCGTAGTGTCGCACCACCCGCGAATTCAGAAAAGCGTGTTACTATGAGGAAATTCTTCCCCTTTGACTGATTTGCTTAATAATTAAATGTTCCACTATTTCGGAAAAAGCAGACGGCATGCGTTTTGTTACTCGCTCTATAACTTAGTGTAACATGACGTCGCATTCGCTGTCCAGTTTTCTTGTCGGATCTCCGCAAATCACTTTTTTCTCAAATCAGTGTTAGCGGGGACTTCATCCGAGTGGCATTGGGGCTTACAACAGTAAGCGATTTTAACGAATTTTTTACGGTGAAGCGCGAGCAGACGACGTCGAATGCCGAGCTCCAAACGGAAAACGTACCGAGGCAGCCGAAGCAGACGACGTGGACACAGAGCACAGTTAGGCTGTGTTCCAAATCTTACCCGAATGGATCCGAGTTACTCCGGCGGGAAGTGTCATGTGACAACTCCGATTCAAAAACACTGGACGAGGGTAGGCTTTAGAACGGCTAGGCACAAAACCCTTAGCCTAGAGTAAGACCGAGTAAATTGTGGAACACGGCTTTGGTGAGATTACATTGAATACAGGGAGCAACTTAAACCAGAGAAAGCGTACAGAATTGCGCATGACTTGCATTCTTACGGGTTGAAAAACGGAGATTGTTGCAGACGATCAACGATTTCTTCTCCTCCTCGCAGCTCTTCTGCAAACGCGTCTACGTGATCAATATCGGGCAGTTGAAAACACACTAAAATCTTGGCACACAACACGTGATGATGGTTATCTAGCGTATTAACCTAAAGCCCTAAAGCGGTCGCTACGAGCGCTGTTAGCTACGGCCCTGAGAAAACCTTTTGCGAGGCACTGCACACACACGACGACACACCTGGCCCCCGACGGATGATCTGGCATACACCTTGTTGTAAAGTCGTTGTTTCGGCTCTCGTTGGAGTGCTCCAACTCGACAATCCCCGTGTCATCGTTCTGGGAACGCCTGCCTCGCAGTAGGTTCTTGAAAAAAAAAAAAAAAAACTGAAGACATTAGGCGTCAGAGGATGGTGAGGCAGAACTGCATGCCCAAAGGAGCCGATAGCGTCTTCGTCTGCTACGCGGAAGGGCTGGAGCGTTGTGGTGAACAAACAGACCTCTTCGGTCAGCTTCCCGGGGCGGTTGATGGATGACGGGCTCCTGTAACCTCGTCAGGAGACCCCAGTCATATTTTATGGTGATTCTTTGGCGGTTAGGGCATATTCTGTCTGGACCACACCATGTCTATCCCAGGATATGCTCGTCGTTACTTTCCTTCAGTAACGATGAAAGTGCACGCTAAATAGCTGAATCAACAGGTAAAAAAATTAAAACTTGCACAAAGAAGATCGCGGTATAAAGCGATAGGAGGCAGAAATAACTGAATGATAATGAGCAACGAAAGCCTAATTTGCTAGCGCTTGTCTCAAAAATGTACCTTGCAATCGCCAGGTTGCCATCAAGTGCCGGCAGGAGGACGGCCGCGATCTTTAATCAAAACCTCTCCTTTCATAACTTCTTAAAATCGCTCGCCATATAGATGGTATTTTCTTCTCTTTCAATCGTTCATCGTTTGTTCGAAATATATATTACGTTTTCGTACAGTTCGCCAGGGCCGGCGCTACATAACGCGGGCAAGGGCAAGAAAGTAAAAAAAAATGTCTACAAAAGTTTAAAAAGCAAAATCTGAAATTTAAAAATAACTTCGCTTATACTAAACATGAAGAAAAACGAGACGGGCAGATTATCATGCGGGATATCTCTGGTGTGTATTTATTCAGTAGTGCTATGTGCAGATTGGCTTGGTTTTTTATATATGCAATAAATGGACAGAACAGAGATCTGAGCAATTACAAAGGTGCTATCGACGCACGCCAGCCATAAAGTCACAACAAGGAAAACGATAAAATAACATTACAAAACATAGACTATACGAAGATATGAAGGAAAGCAACAATACACTACGCAAGTGCCCAGCCCAATGGGAATATCACACAGTCTAGGACGGGCAAGTTCACCGCTTCGGAGAGCTAACACGGCACGTGCCACGTCCATGATGGCGCTATCGAAAAGCTCTTTCTTGAAAATTTTTATATACATTGCAGCGCGTCTTGTAATGTAAATATACTTTTTGTAAAAGTATATTTTCGTCATCATTCGCCGTGCTTGGCTCACCGCGTCCTGTATGTGCAGACAGGCGGAAGCGGACCTTTTGCCTGTCTGCAAACTTAAAAGGCAACTTTTCTCACCTTTCTTGCACTGAACATATTTACAACACTAGTTTTATCAATGGTCGACAAAATTTCCTGCTCTATGGAGAGCGTAGCCAAGCCAGAGAGACGTTCTTGTGTCATCGTTGAGCGGAGGTATGTCTTGATCAATTACAACTTCGAAAAGCTCCTTTCCGCGGAGGCAACGGAGAGCGGTATGGTTAGCAAAATTCGGAGAGCAATGCATGTGTTCGGGTAGAAGCTTCGGAGTTCGCTTTGCAGCAAGCGTACCAAGCATTCATTGACTTACGAGCGCTCTTTTAAAACAAAAGACAAAAGATGAAGCTCCTCCGCCAGTGAGGTGCCACATACATCAGAGCTACTGGCGTGCTTCAGGCACGCCTCGAGAGTGGTACATTTTTCAAGAATGTCGCTTTTTCTAAGTTTCTGAAGGGCCGGAATGTCATAAAGAAAACCAAATACAGACGAGTGACTTTGGAGTGTGTAAAGCGTTCTTTCATCGACATGAGCGCCTGGTCAACAATTACAAGGAAGTAATCCCTCTCAAACGCCTTCATGGGATCGGCAGTACGCTCCTGCTCAGATGCCCGAGATTTCCGTCCTTGTCGAAAGTCCTTTAGCTCATTCGAAATTTCCAGTTGTTCGCATAGGCTGTTCGAAGTTGTCCTTGCATCAGCAAACCCATGTCTCCGGTAAGCTTCCAGCCACGTAATTAATGCTTCCACGTGCTTCGTAACTAGGTCCAGCTGCGTCGTTTCCGAGGAGAGGTTAGTTTTGTAACACAGGAATTTTTCTGTCCGGGTGGAGCAATCCGCAAATTGGCGAAGGGCCCCGCGCCCGTCGGTCAGCTAACTATTTTTTTTTCCTTTGGAAAATTCAGCAATGAAAGTTATCTGTAGTGGCGATGTTGAAATTTTACAAAAAGTTCAACCGGCGAGTGACCGCGGGGCCCCTCTGTCACTTGCGGGGCCCTGTCGTAAGCGCGGGGCCCGGAGCGCCCGCCCCGCTCGCCCGCCCCGCTCGCCCATGCCTAACGCCGGCCCTGCAGTTCGCCATCAAAAAGGCGAACACGACAATCGAGCGCACATTTCGGCGGCTGAATCAAGCCACTTAGGAGGCCGCAAAGCTAGGCAAGCCAATGCTCGAGTAAGTTTCGGCAGTCAACTCGCGAGCTGAATGGCCGGAACCGCGCTATAAGCTTCCATATTCGCCACGCCGAAATACGCCGGAGCGCCCAGGTTCGTCTTGGTCGAGTCGCCAAATACCCGCGTATTTACGCCGACTTTGAGGTGTTGAGGAAGCGATCGTCCCGACGCCCGTTATACGTCGGTCCAGCGTCCGCTAAAACTGCCCGTAAATACGTCAGAAATACGCCCTAGGTGGTTCGTTCATGAATTGTGTCAGCATTTGTCTAGGAGAATCTCAAGGATGACATCTAAGACGACGTCTAGGAAGACCTCTTGGACGACATGTGGGTGATCTCAAGGACGATTTCTAGGGCAACCTGAAGCACGACGTCTAAAACAACGTCAAGTACGACGTCTGGAACTATCACAAGGGCGATCGTAAGGACGACTTCTAAGATGGCCTTAAGGACGACGTCCTATAGTAAGAACTCAAATACGTTCTATAAAGGATGTCGTATATAGGACGACGAGAAGAACGACCTCTAGGACGACTTCCAGAACGACCTCTAGGACGACTTCCAGGACGACCTCTAGGACGATGTCAAGGTTGTCAGGTCCTTCGAAGGGGTTACAAATATGAAGAAGCAAGAATGTGAGCTGAAATGGTCTACTTAGCTTACCTACTGCGTGCTAGGAAGCCAGATAGACAAACAAATCCGGAGGGGAGAGGGGGGGGGGGGGGTGCGGTAGCTTAAGAATACTATCCCATTACATAAACGACGTTCCGGAGCTGATAGTTCATACCTCAAAAGGGCGTTTCACAGGTGCCACCATATTCGTAACTAGACCCGGGTTGATATAGAAATTAATGAGACTAAATAAAAATTACAAATTACCCGATGTCAAAATTGTTTTTCTTAAAGACCGACGCACAACTTCGCTTTTCTGTATGAAAAATAACCTTAGTGCCCTCCTTTTCTAAAGTTCGAGCAATGCAGTGTTGAGGCAAGTTGAAACTGGTTCGAATATGGAAAGCATATACAAAATGATGTAGTGAAGAAGAGTGGAAAGCTCGAAGTTTACGTCGGCCTTTAAGCATGCTTGAACTCTTGGGATGTTTTCATGTGATTTTTAAATGTTTAATCAATCAAGTTCGTGGTCAATGATATTCCTTCCTGTGGAACACAGATTCCACCTCAGTGAATAATGTGCCACAGTCGCGTTGATGTCGTGTGGAATGTATACTTTATTTTTTCCGCGTGTTTTTTTGTCTGACGCTGATCATCTTGACAAGTTCAGCAGTCGCACGCTTTCCTCCCGCATTTTGTGCTTCTGTACTTTTCCGGTCAGTGTCCTCGGGAAAGAGTCCACGAACAGCACATATTCCGGTATCTTGTAATCGTGGATCTGTAATTATGAAGTTTGTTGTGATTGCGTACACAATAAACAAGGAATGCCTTAAAATATTAATTGCTTCAATTCCTCGGCCACTCCTTTTTTTTCTTGTTAGTTCTTTTTAGAATTGGAAATAGTGTTTTCGTTGTACTCAAGCGCTTACCGCACTTCGCGAAAATCCCCAAACACCGCGCCCAAGGTTCTGTGCGCGTGCTCCCTCTTGAAAACGTCTCATCTACCACGTGACACTAAAAAGAACAAGGCCTGTCCAAACAGTACAATTCAAGAAGCGTGAAGGGACACTTCACCCGCATATTAAGTGAAAGTTACTGTCCGTCCCTCCGTCTTCTGTTCGGACATCAACCTCGCGCCCTCGGCTTCTGTGACGTCAGCGCTTGTCAGGATTGAGTTCACACGTTACCTGCCAATTATGTGACCGCCCATCTGCTCTGCCGCGGGCGCCGTCGCAAAGGTGGGAAGGCCAATTATGTCTGGCCTTTCGGGGATTGGCTCCCGCGAAGAGGCTTGGCATACTTGCTCTCGCATCCTTCTTTCTGTTTTCGGAAAGCTCCGGCATGAACAACACAGGGAGTCCTTCGCTTATAGCCAATAGGCCTTTACAATATATATATATATATATATATGAAATCAGGCTCACATTTTAGCGTGGTATGAAATACATTTTCCTAGCTCTGTTCTGAGACTCCTGAACGATTCCTATTCATCCCTATCCGCTCACGTCCTATGACAATTTTCAATAGAATTTCCATTGACTTTCAACCCAAGTTTGTAAAGTACGGATGACAGGAATGCGACAGAATTTCTATCGCAAAGTTTGATTAGACTTCCTGTCAGCATATTTCTCTGTAATTTCTATTGACAAGATTTAAGAAAATAATTAGATGCGGTTCGGGGACGCGACATCACGACCGGTTGGAGCCTCGTTGAGGTTGCTGATTATTTCGACTGTGTCGAATAAATATTGCCTTTTACAATGCGTTATAGTTGGAGATGCAGATCACCAACCTTATATATCAAATTTCATACAAATTTTTTGGCATAAAAGTCAACATTCGCGCAATTTTTAAATCTTCTTTGAAGGTCATTTTTCAAATGATTGCTTTTCAATTGGACGGTGTACATAGAGGTGTAGCTGCCAACAGAACTGATTAGCTAGTGTATTGAGTGCTCAGTGGTGTGTGTACTTGTGATGCCTGCATATGTGCACAGGGCAAGGGGTGAGTAGTGCAAGTTTCCGTGGTTGTATTGTGACAAACCTAAACATAATATTCATAATATAGCTTTTTTCGCGAAACATTGATCTATAACCTTTATAATGGAGATAGACACGTTGTTAAAATATCTGTTTTTTAAAAAAATTTGATGTAATCTCCATACACTAAGTTTTATAGAAAGTCTACAAAAAATGCCCCAAAACCTATAGTTCCTGGACAGAAAAGTGAATACATTTTCTTTTGGTACATCTCTGGAATTTATTCACAAGTGTTTATCAGCATTTAGTGAAACTCTTTTGGAAAGAGCTTTCTCCCAAGAAACACAACAAGCCGTAAAAAACGGACCCAGGCGGATTGGCGCACGTGTCGCTTTACACCTGTTGAAGTCTCCTTTTTTGAGACGCCTTCACACAGATGGAAGCGCAGCTGTTCACCAGCCCTCGGCCGCTCGTCCATCGTGTGCTACAACCGGTTCAATACCTACCGTTCTCGGCATTCATTTCAGTGCCGCGGATGCGCGCTGCACCTTTTACAGCGACTCTATTTCAGCCGTCTCCCAGCTTTTTATTCTTTATTAATAAAAAAACCCCGCAGCGCCTATACAGCATTATTGCAGGGGGGCACAATGCATTAAAAAAGAGATCCACAGTCTCGCGGCACACCGCTTCCGGCGGTAATAAATTCCATTCTGCGATGGTTTGTGCAAAAAAAAGAGTGTTTCATAATGTTTGTCCTGGAGAAATACGGCTGAACCTTATAGCAATGGTCTGTACGAGCAGAACGGTAAGATGGTGAATGCAGAAACTTTGCAGCACAAATCCTGTTTGGTTGTGATAAATCGAGTAAAACAATTTGAGACGCAGCCTTTTACGACGTTCATTTAAATTCGCCCATCCGAGTTCCTTTTTCATTTCAGTTGTGCTACAGAAACGATCTTATCTTCACAGGACAAACCGAGCAGCAACAGATTGAATACGTTCTATAGCACTGATCCGAACCTGGTAAAACGGATCCCACACAAGACAGGCATACTCTAATATCTGTCTAACATACACTTTATACGCTGCTTTCATAAGCTCTTTGCTTACATGTTTAAGGTTGCGCTGCGAAACACTTAAAGCCCTGCCAGCCCTGGAAACGACACTGTTCACTTGAGCTGTCCATGTTCCGTCTTCAGAAAATATAACAACTAAATATTTTTACGGTGGTTCAATTCTAATATTTTTATTGTTAATATAGTACTGATGAGTCAATTTATTATGTTTTCTAGTGAAGCGCACATGAACACACTTGCTAGCGTTCAATGACATCTTATTGTTAATACACCATGATTCAATTCGTTTAACATCTCTCATAAGCTGTGTGAAATCCGTTTCACCAGACACCGCGTTGTCTGATGCACAATCATCGGCAAATAGACGTTGCAGAAACGTTTGCGGGCTTCACATTCCTCGACCTCGGCGACTAAAAGAAGCCGCGAAATATAGGGTTCAGCAGGCTTCGAGGGGGAGAGGTGTCTGAGTGTGTCGTTGCACTGCAGCCGGGAGCATGTGAACCGAACACTTACTCTGAAAAAACCCAGGGACCATGAGCTCAGTTCTCAGCCCTGCTAGTTTCTATCTGCCTGGGCGTCGCACCTTTGTGCGGTTGTGTTTCAGAATTCCGTAATGCACGTTAAAGACCACAGGTTATCAGTGGTACCGCTCTGGCTACACTTCTCTACGGCAAAGACACCAGGCACCCATTAGAGATTAATTAATTCAGACGCACTCGCTAGAACATACACACATCACAATTTATTTCTGGCGAAGATCTTTCTGCACGCTGTTTCTAGACAAGGTGACAGACATCCGAAAACAATACCCAGATTATTTCAATCTAAGGAGATTTTTTTTCACATAAGTGTTGGCTGACTTAAAATAAGGACGGCATTCAAAGTTGCGGTGGCATCGATTTGGGACAATATAAATTGCAAAATATCACACAATATTACATATTACATATTTTTACACGTTCCAAAAAATATTACACATTACAATTTATAGTTAATTGCCCAACTCATTGCGATGGTTATTTCCTCCATTATTCTTTCACGAGTTTTATTCATGTGCTGGTTGAAGCATTCGTAATGCTTCACATTCACGAGATTTCGCATATGGAAACCGCTTAAAGCCAGCCGACCCACGCTCTAGAACTCGGATGTTTTCCAGCGTATAAGCCGAAGATGGAATGCAATGACCGCCGAGTTCAATAACCCTATACCAAAAACGATGTTCGTGTACCAGCACTCCCTTAAGAATGTTGTATCCAATAAAACCAATAACCGCGTATATAAGTTTCATAATTATGTAAAATGTCTGTCAACTATAACAGTCTTCTTGTGGCCATGAATTTAGTATTATTGGACCTCACCATATTGGTTTACTAACTAAATACTTTAATAAATGATATTTGAAACGCTATTATGAAACTGGCAGAATTACATATTTTTGTGAACATATTCTATGTTCAGCATAAAACTGCAGACTAAAACCCGTATATCAACTTTATTAAAAACGGATAGCCTTGAGGCTTTGGGGTTTATGTTGAAATTGAAAAATTTCTTTACAAGAAACTCATAAACGTCTCCTTATATTAAACTAGTCTTCGTACGCCTTAATTTGATTGCATACCTTTCCTTTACAGAAGGTCTTGATGTCTTCGTGAGACAAGGTTTTATATGGCTGCAGTTTGATCCAGACGCATATCTTATTTCCCAGCCTTTCGTCCGGTACTCCAATCACCTACCGAGAAATTAAAAAAAAATGAAAGAGCATGTAACTTTGATATGCGTTACTTTAAAGAACCAAACTAGATTTTATTTCTCTACAGTAAAACATAAACAAATTGCTGCAAAATTATACTGATAGTGGCACCGTGCATTCAAAAGACATGAGGTCAAAAACTTATGTACCGTCTTGGGAGAAAAAAAAGAGCCCTCCGCAGGCAAAAAATGGCCTCCAAAACATGCCTTTCGATTATTGCTCGCAAAATATTAGTCACTGGAGAGTATCAGCCACCTTCTCAAGCCTTTATTTTGGCCTCTATTTGTTTACGTTCCACCTATTGACAGAATACGGCGAGTAAGACCAAGAATACAGGAGTTTTGCCACTCCACCGTCCCATTCCTCACGAGTTTCAAATCAGATTGTAAGACCCATCGACGCAACGAGTCCGAGGATTGCACACACACCCAGCCAAAATATCGCGTTGATTTTGAACTTTCTTTGTTTATATAGCGAACCGGTCAGAGCAGCGAATATGTGTGAAAATCTCGGTGATTTTTGGTTGTAAATTAGGGAGGCAACTTTGATTTGACTGTGCTAAAAGGAGAGCAGTCAAGTGGGGAGAATGGGTTAAGCTGGAGGAGTTGGGTTACAAGGAGAAAGATGGACGGCGACATCGACCTGCCCTTTCACCCAATAAAATTGTCCGCCGATAAACGCGCACATTAACGGAAGCTCTAAACAAAAGCCTATGCTGAATATTGGTTCCTAACGTTTCCGCTACCATGTCTCAGTTTTTCTTGTTTTTTTTTTTTTTCAACATCATCGCCACAAAGCACATTACGTGACCGGGTCCCTTCGATGAAGTGAGCTCAGCCTGCTAGTGCATTTTTTTAAACATTACTATAAAATGGAGAAATGGCTTGAACACTGTTACTCGTCAACTGTTCTTGGTATAGTACTAAGATATTAGGGCTTTCTTCGAATAAAGGCGCTCAGGTTGATGCCCCGGTGTCTTAAAGCACAGCGTTGCAAGAAGCAGCTCCACAGATGCGCGTCTCACACCGTCTGCCGCGCTTTAGGAAACATACCTGCGCCTCTTCCACATCGGGGTGTGTGTTGAGGACACTCTCAACCTCCAGTGGCGGCACCTTAAAACTGCCAATGTTAATCATCTCCTTGATGCGGCCCGAAAATGTGATTCGACCGTCCTCGCTCATGGTCGCCTCGTCCCTGTGAACGGTTGACCAGAGAGGGTAAACATTTTTCAAAGCTGCACTCAAATTTGATTACATTTAATCTTTCCTCAAGTCGTGATACAATGGCCTGACAGAGGTGATTCGGATTATTTAACAAGATTTATTATTATAACACAAAGCAAACTTCTAAAGTGCATTGCCGCTTTTAAATATCTTTAAAGGAGAGCTTCAACGAACATTTTTATCGAAACTAATTTGCTTCAAAATTAGTTTAAGATACACATACAATCATTTGAATTAGTAACCAAATTTCAAGTCACAACAACATTTTTTTGTTTCGCGAAGGTTTATAGTTTAAAATTTGGTGTGAGAGGTTGAGGGTTTCTGGTGACAACACTGAAACATGGCGTCAGATGTTGTAATACGGGTATATCCCCACCGGATACAAACTTCTTGTATACCGACGGGATACAAGAAGTTTCTTGTTGTGAAATGAGGGTTGCAACTAAACTCACGCCAGAAAAACAAAAAACGAAAATGCGGAACATTGTGTTTTTTTTTTTAGACTGCCTGCTCCAATTGCATGTTATACTACATGTGACACTACCACGATGAGCAGGGGAGGAAAAATTGAATGTTTGTTTTTGAATCACATGCATTCGTTGATTTATCAATAGCTATCTTAAATTTAGAAATGGGGAATAGCATGCTGGATAGAGTAAAGACTAGGTATTCCAAAATGCGTTTAGTTTTGGTAGGTCGAAAGACCTTCGGAATACCGAACTCCTAAAACAAGTTTTTTTTCTTTTTTTTAAGTTAAGAGAGGGAAAACTTGTTCCACAAAATCACCTGGTAACGAAAAAATTTGTTGTTGTTTTTGGCGCAAGTCTAGCTGCGCCAAATACACTCCGCCAGACACATTTCGAGTTACGTGTGTTTCCAAATATATTAGCATCAAGGGCGCGTAACAAGCAAGAAATAAAGGAGATTACACAAAAGTAAAAACACAGTGCTGACTGCCAAATCACATTTCTTTTACTTTGTTGTGAGAAGCAGGACGACATTGCAAAGAAACCGATATCAAAATGCCTGATAAATTTGCGCTCATCACATTGACTACTTCACCAAATATTATAATATTTTGGCGGATAAAGAAACAAAAGAGGCGATGACAGATTTGTCATCAAGTCGCGCTACCTTCTCAGTCTTAATTATTTATCTTTTTAAATGGTCGCCATTCCTCCCCATTGTAGTGCCTTTTGTGAAAAGAGGATCACAACCACAGTCTCCGCAATGAGTTCCTAGATAAGCAGAGACAGTCGTGTTTGTGTTTTTAGGATGCTCGGGCAGCCGATGATTGAAACATCTGCCTGGTTATCTGACATATAAACCGATTGCCACACGTGTGTTTTGTAGAATATACCACTCCTGTATACTGAAAAAAGGAATTTTTGTGTTTTTGTGCCGCTTTGTCTAGCAATGACTGCGTTGTATATTCTCTACATAAAATTATCAATGTGTTTAGTGTGGAAGAAAACACATTTATGTTAATTTGGTTTGCTATCGTTTTTTTTGGATATGCATTTTTTTTGCATATAGGGCACCACCACCGGTATTTCTTTTTTGTCTCTCAACGGTTGTGCTTTACTATCATATATTACTTTCGCCAACATCATTTAGAATACAGATAATAAAAGTTAATCCGGGTATCCTGCGAACTGAGCGTTGAGAGCTACGCATAGAAGCTCACTTTGAACAAATGTGGGCAGGATTTTCCCAGAGTATTGACTAGGCATAGATTAACTATGCTTAATTTTTCTAAATTTGATTGCGCCGATCATAAAGGGGTGTTTTTTGACTCTTGGTTCTTGTGACGAAAATACATAATGTTCTTGCAAAGGAATTGTTAGGTTCAAAAATCTGACTTATCCTTTGTTCGGATGCTCATGATATTTCTACAAGGGATGCAAACATGTTCTGAAGCTATGCCTTGTCTCACCCTACGATGAACTGAAGACCAAACCTACAGGCTGCCAGGTCCAATCACGAGCGAGTTAGAAACCATGTGGTGTATTGTTCCGACATGCGTAGCAATGCGCGAGTCTCCCAGATACGCACGCCGAAATAACACGTGGTTTCTAACTGGTTTGTGCTTGGACATGGCAGCCCGTTGCTTTCGCCTTCAGTTTATCGTAGGTTGAGATGAGGTAAAAATATAACTATGAAAAAAAATGATAAAGAGTCATTATTCTCTACATATTTGAGAAAAATAAAGAATTCTCTACGACGGGAAAAAGTTTTAACTACTGAACTGACTAGGCGACCTGAAATTATCATATTAAGGTGGTCAAGGTATATGGCACTGAGAATCGGGACAATGTGCAACCAAATAAAAACCCCGTTCCTTTGCAGGAGGATATTTCCATCCCATTCTGCAAAAGTAGATCGAAGATCAACCGTGAGTAACTCAGGGGAAGTACCCTGAGACACGCCTGAATCATTCTAAAACGCAGCAGCTCCAAATGTGTCAATCCAATTTTCCACACATGTTAAAAGTGCTTCTTAAGGAATTTAATTTATTAATAAAAGTCTTTGAGATCAGCAGAGTACGCTGTCACTGTGTTGTCTGAGAAAGCTGGTGCAATAATATCAGTTCTTTAGTAAGAATGGATCGTCCGCTGTCAAAAAAATGAGCTTGTAGGTGAAAGGCCAGAGCATTTTTCCAAGTCCTCCCTTCTTACACGATGCCTTTTCAAGGACAATTTTGTTTGTGTATTTTTTTATGGAAGAAAAGTTACAAACTGAAATTTGTTTTCTTGAACTTGAAGGCACACTATTCCTTTCAGCACCAATGAGAGGCAAGGTTTCTTCTCCTTACATTTTACCTTCGATAAGAAAAAGCTATTGCGGTGTTGGAAGACCGTGTCAATTGCTGCAAGGGTGTTGGTAACGAGCGTATCGGGCGACGTTAACACAAGCCCATCTCTTTTGTGAGCTTGTAGAAGAAATAAGGACTGTTCCTCCAAGTACGACTCACTTTGTTTGACAGGAAGGTGTGAATCCGATGGCTGACACAGTAAATAAAAACTTGAGGACGCTAAGCTCCACCTTTAAGAGTGGAATACGACAGCGTTATCGGGTCCCGCCCGCAAAGCCTCAGATATACGTGTGCTCGCGTCCAAGCCGTGCATACTTGTGTGTGTGTGGTCCCATAATGCAAGGCGCACAGCCACGTGTGATGTCACATGTGACGTCACACTTGGCAGCGTGCGTTGAATTATGCAATTTACCAGCTGAATTTGTTGAAAAAATGTTCCACCAAATCTTGCGGAAACATTTTCTTTAAATTTGTCGGGAAATTATTTCCGCCAAATTTAGAGGGTAAACCTTATACCGCAACACGCGCAGCCACGTGTTACGTCACACGTGGGTGCGCGCAATGCATTGTGAGATTTTTCGGTTTCATCGACGCTGATATCGACGCCTACGTGGACCTCAACGCCTACGACAGATTTTCTGCGACAGATCTCCTAAACGCTATCGCGTTAATAGCATCGTCTTCAGAGGTGCAGCGGTTATAACCAGCCTCGGGCGCCCATTGCGACACTTATCCCCCACGTGACAGCAGCTCAGGTGCTGACTTCCTAGACTAAGCTGCGAACTGAGGACCATAGGGGTGGAGTTGTTGCACTTTAACGGGCAAATGTACGCCACCGGTTGCATGAACTGCGTTGCTAGTAGATGACACGGGCTTTGCTGTGATGCACAAAGCTGAACTAAATTGTGCTGCCGAACGAATTCCATTCGTTAAGTCCTTCAGTGCATAAAAAGCACGCAATGTATTTCTGCCAATGGAAAAAGAACTGAAAAAAAAAATGGTGGAACGAGCAATGAAAACTCACACCATTTTTCTTCTTTATTATGTGTAGATCGGGAGAGGTGCCCTCTCTACACAGGATATCTTATTGCTCAAAGATATATAGCAAACCCGGTAAACATAAGTATGGATCTTTCATTACCAAACAAAATAGGCAGTTTTTATAAAATAGTTTACAACGCTGTCAGTCTAAGAAGTCTTCGTATTCAGTGTACAGAAGGAAAGGTATATTCCATATCACTCTCACGTGGCGAAAGGTATGTCGGACAAATAGTCACATTTGTCAATGATCAGCTGCGAGAGCATCATAATAATTTGAACAAGATTGTTTCTGGCCATTAACGATTTCGCTGCACCAAGCTGTGGTTGTGAACTTGTTATGCACGGTTCAGAAAATACACTGTATTGCCGTGGGGTGGCCAACCCCTCACTAGAGAAATTATTGGGGCTTTGGACGATAGTGCGACTCATTGACAAGTGTGCGAGCGCCACTTCTCTTTCTTTATCCGCCAAAGCAGTATAAGACTTGCTGAACAAGTCAATGTGTTGAGCGCTGAATTCTCGAGTTTGATTATGGACTTGCATTCCGCTTATTTCAGAAGCGACACATCTGAAATAAGCAGAATAAGGGCCGCGAGTTGTTAGTCAGCGTTGTTTTTCCTGTGTCCTGTCTCTCCTTTTGTCCTTAGTTGCGTGCTGTTGCTGCTAAGATAGCTATTATTACCAACCCCACCTAACTTCATATATATATATATATATATATATATATATATATATATATATATATATATATATATATATATATATATACAGGGATGGGCAAAATACATGCAAATATGTATCGAAATACAAATACAAAATACTTCGTCAAAATGTATTGAATTACAAATCTAATTACATTTCCAAAAAAGCATTTAAGTTCATGATACAAATACAACCAAATGTATTTGGTCTCTTCGAAATACTTTTCCAAATACATTCCTCAAAATTTGCGTCAGCGGCTTCAGGGCACGTGCAACGGGTTTCTGGGTATCTCATTTTAATTTTGCATTGCACACTCGGGAGTTAGTGTGCCAGGCTCTAGTAACGTAATAGAAATATAATCACAAAAAGAAAATGTAATCAGCTTGGACGTAATAGGTGAAAAAAGTACAGAGCTTCAAGCAGCTTTTTTTTGTTGATTACATTTTGGTATAGACCAACAAAGAACCGAGACGACCAAGACGCGCAGCACTAGCTAGATAATGTTTTATTGTTGCAACTCGCACCAGTTACGAAAATCTGGACGACCCGCGCATTTAGAATGTTCCAGGCAAAAATATGGATGGAAGTCAGGCTGGAAAGCATCATAAGTTGTCACAGGCACTTATTTAGCCAGTCTGCCTGTGAACGTCGGTTTCGTCACTATTCTTGCCCTGGACTAGCACCGTAATCACAAAGTAACTAAAAGCTTGTGCTTGATTGAAAGACACTGCATTCGGTGCAGAACGTAGTTTTCTTCCTGCTCTGGAGAGTGCCTTTAAAATAAAGCCGGAGAAGAAAAGGAAAAAAGCACCATGGCCGAATAAAGGATGGAGACTATATTTACAACCACATCCATAAAAACAAGATGTATTTTCGCCCACAAAATTGTATTTAATTACAATTGTATTTGAAATACCCATGTTTTAGTATTTAAATACACACATCAAATACATTGCCCGATTTGTAATTAAATACAAATGCAAAATACACAAAGTATTTGAAATACGTATTTCAAATACTTGTATTTGAAATACGGCCGATCCCTGTATATATATATATATATATATGAAGTTAGGTGAGTTGGTAATAAGAGGTCATCGTAGCAGCAACAGCACGCAATTAAGGACAAAAGGAGAGGACACATAGGAAAAACAACGCTGACTAACAACACGCGTCTCTTAGTGTGCTTATTTCAAATGTGTTTTTGCAATCGCCCTTAGGACAAAAAATTTCCACTATAACATCATTCTTTAAGGGCCTCGAGAGAGTACCCATTAGTTCATATCACAAAATGAGCATTAGACAAAACAAAAATAGCACTAGATTTTCTTCGGGAATCTAATTTTCAGTTAGGCGCATTTCCAAATACTTTTCGATTTCAGGGCGCCGGTCCAGAAATACAACACGTTTCCGAATAGCTCAGATGATTTTCGTTACCAAAATCTACCGCTAAAATTTTAATGGAAATTGTTTTTTTGTTATGAACGAATCCTATCCAGCCACATAAAAATGTATTATTATCTAGCATAACGTATAGCAGTTACAGGTGTCCGTTTAACGTCTGTTGGTGAGGTTATGCAAAAGAAGGGGCAATTTCAATCTCTAGTTCTTTGGAGACAACAAAAAATAGCTTCGTCCCTTCCACTTGTCCGTAGGTCTACCAGACAAATATCGCCAGAATAAACAGCCCAAAGTAGGTAAGAGCGGTGTACGAATAGAGGAAACACTAGATTGTAGAACGTAAGTCCGAGAAGGAATTGGGCTGGGAAATTTTTTTTTAAAATAAGTGGTCGGAAAAAACTAAATCATAAAACTTTGAGAACCAAAAAACACGAGTTAGAAGAAAAATATAAATGAGAAAGTGTGTTTTTCTTTAAGCAATTTAATAACGAATAACATATTTTTATTTTAGTGTGAATATTTAAATTCAACTAAATATACCGTAAATTAACGTGGAAGCGCCCACCACGTTCGAGCACACATTACTAACAATTCCCAAACTTTAGAATTTTGAACATTATATCTTAACCACCAGATTTGACCGGACAAGCGCCCATGTCTAGATTTCCCCAGCTTTCAGTGAAAGTGAAAAAGGCGCCCTACGGTATTTTACCGTACATACATAGCAAAGGGACTGCGAAATATCAATTTTTGAAGAAATTAGTGAATTCTCAACTAATTTAGTGTACTAGTAAAGCATTGGAAATTAAGCTATTCTTGGATATTGATTATTAAGAAGCGGTTCGATTAAAATAATTTAAATTACAGAATAATCTGGAAACTTCATGTTACTATGTTGTCTTCCAAACTTAGCATTTCTGTACAAAGACGAGATATTTGTTGATTCAGTGAACACGTTGCCTGGAACGAGCGCGAGACGGCGCACCAGAATGTTTTATTCCAGCGCTTATAGCCTTAACGAGCGCGAGCCATAATATCATCGAGAAAGCCGAGCTTAATGTCGATTTATTATTTATGTAATGATTCACTGTAATACAAGGAAATATTCAGATAAGATCCGAAGAAATGTAATACTTACCGCCCGCTCAGCTTCACTTCCATTGAAATCTAGTCTAGACTGTAGGATTTTCATTATGGTAGGCATTAATTGTAAATATTAGTAGGGTCCTTAGTTCGGGCAAACGAGTGGTGTATCGTTTCATGTTGTTATGAATAAATACTTGAACCTAAGTGACAAGTGCTCCCTAAAATTTTACTTGCTATCTATTGCTAGTTTGTTTCCCAGAGTGTTATTATGGTTTTGTGGTTGTTTTATTAATTTGTCAAACAACATTGATCAGATTATATTACTAAAGCCTTGCCGATTCTCCAGACATTCGCACTTTCGTTGAGATCCCGGTTCAGGAAAGAAAGTATGTTTTCTATCCGGTTGCTGGCTTTGTCGGTTCGTGCATTTTCTTTTGGGAGTCAATCTCCGGGTTCCACACGACGACAATTGTTTTTGTATTTTCATGTAATGTAGCGCTTAAGGTTTCATCAAAGCCGTTTGCACTGCTACCGACGTGGTCCTTACCCCGTGTGATACCAGTTCTCTCGGAGGGCTTCCTTTGTCTTGGCGTCGTCGTTGAGGTACCCCTTGAATACATGGGGACCTCGGGTGCACAGTTCCCCTCTAGTGTTCACGGGAACAATCCTGCCTTCGGTGTCCACAACCTTCACCTGAAGCATTATAAGACTGAGTTATTCTGAAGGGAATTGGGTGTTTCAAGTGTACATCTACTCGAATAAATTTTCTCTGGCTTAACTACTATTTCCTTTATTTTAGCTTCTTTGGGTGATAATTTCACCTCTGAAAGTAGTCGTTTATTTTTATATTCTTCACCTAAGAGTAATACTGAAATTCTTATTTATTTTCCAAATATTGCATGACCTTTGCTCACCAACGCACACTTCAACCCAAGAAGTATGTTAAGTTGTTAAAAACCTCCTGCTATTTAGAAAAACAGTCGATAAATAGATATCGTGACCTCCTCTAACGCCATTCAACTACTCATTCCACAACGGAAAATGGGAATGCATATATTTAGAACAAATAAATTATTCGCTCTGAGGGTTCTCTCCTCGTTATTTTTTATCACTCGACTGAAGTATGCTTTAAATACTATATGGGTGATTTTATTTTGAATCGTTTAGACAAATCGGGTCATGTTTTAAATTCTTCCAAAAATATATGTACAGGCAAGCCCTTTACTAAGACAAAACAAAAGTCAGTTTTTTTTATTCTTCTGTTAGTTCTTAATTGTTTGCCTTCAAAGTTACAATAGTGGATTCGGAAATTTCGGTGATCGGCGAACGTCGTTTTCTTGTGTGACCTCCGCCATGATCATGCCCGTATTCGTTTTGGTTTAAGTACCCTTTGCACAAAAACGAAACATTTTCATACTTTTACAAGTGCAGTAGAAGAGTCTAATGGCCCTAAATAATGTCCTTACTTTTTATTTATATTGAAAAAACCTAGAACCCTGCCCCTTTGATGATAATTCAACTATATTTTTATGAGAGATTTTGTTACTATTAATATTGATGGTGCAAAGTGTATATATTAAATGAAACCTTATGCAAATACCTAGTCAAGAGCACAATGTTGTTATTTCTTATCAAAGTGGTCTTGGTTAAACATACCGTTGAATATAAGAAAAAGCCACAAGAACGCATTTCGAGATCAATTATGTAAAATAAGGCATTTTCAACCTTTTTTTCTCTTTGACGGGCCCTGAGTATGTTCTGACGTATAAAAAAAAAATCAGAAGTAATATATAGGTTAGACATATAAATACGTACCTTTGAAGATACTACACCGGGTTTAGTTTACTTTAACTTCAGCAATATTTTGTTTTTCATGAGTTGTGAGATTTAGGCGAGTTCCGTCTTCACTGTGCATTTATCAGGCTTGGCGGACGTAAAGCGGGGTGATAATCGTCACGCTAAGCTGACTAACTTACATGATTATTTGCAATAACTTCTCAATAATTGTTTTAGGACTTTTGTCGGAATCGCGGTACCGCAATTACTATAGGAGTCAAACAATTAAAAATACACATGCGAAAAAGCGTAATGGTCTACGAGGTATTAATTGATACATTTCAATGTTTTTCGCGCTGTGTAAAACTAGCACTTAGTCGCATGACCTTCCCGCCATGAGGCTTGGAAGAATCCCGTAGTTGTTTATATTATGTGGTGACGATGTCGGCAGCGTGTCCTTGGTGGGTGCGCCGACGACACAAATGACAATATGGCCTAAACGGCTGCGTCACGCTTCCATGCATCATTGTAGGCAGGGCGTGATGCGCTCTTTTTGCACGAAATTAGGAAATGGTGCAAAAAATCCCGGACCTAAATAATAACATCTATAAAACCATTAACTTTTCGGAAATCCTTCAAATAGTCTGGTCTCTAATAGTATTTTTCTTGAATACCGCCTTTAAACATCAGCCCTCCAAGAAAATAATCATTGAAAAGTTTATCAAAATATTGCCTTTTAAGTCAGCTTAGAATGACGATTATACCTTTATATATTATCAACTGAGTCTAATAAATACACGATGAAGGTTGAACTTGTCCAACTCGCCCCTTTTTTTAAGCCCTTTCTATTTAGAATCAACACCCTGCCTATTTTCAAGTACTATTCCTCAAAGCAAATAGTGGTCACCCTCATTTTATGTCTGATTGTTATTTATTTTTTTTACACTTACTCACAGTGCTTGTTGGTTTTGGTTAATAAAATAATTAGGCATGTTTCGTACTACATATGAAGGATTTGGTATGCACGTCGTACGTGTTTTGCCGAAAAAAAAATCGCTATGAAGAAAAAAAAATAGTATTTTTTTTAGATTGCCTAATGAAAATGAAAAGCTTCCAAATATTTTCCTCTGTAAGTCTAGTCCGGGGCACTTGGGTTGGGGAAACTGACTAATACACCAAAACTCTTAGCACAAAATTTCGTCGTTTTCCAACTGCCGCTTTTGTGCGCGCACAGGCCTACCAGAAGCCGGGCTCGTTTAAACCGTCTCTGTCTTTGTGTTTTCTTCTTGGAAAAACAAAACAAAGCTCAAATACACCGATGTGAAGTAGTGTGTCCCACATACTTGACGGCGGCATGACATGGTCCGTTTCCTTACTTTATTGCTATTTCTGTAATTACCGGTTAAGTTTTTTATCTCCGGACACAACCCCATATGGGAAATATATTCCAGCTGTGGCACTAACCAAGTTTGCTTTAAGTAGTCTGAAATATGTCAACATTTTAGCTACCGAGTGATGGCGTTGCACTAACACAATTGCGTAAGATATCTTGTAATGCAAGTCCACAAGACCGTGTATTACTTACACACAACGATGTTCAAGCGGGTTATAGGTGCACTCTTAAGGCTTAGCAAGTCCTTTAGCTTTAATATTTGTGCAAAAGTGGCGTACGGAATTTTTCTAACAGGAATAAGAGCATTTCATTCCTTCTTTTTTTTTTGCATTGTGGTGCAGTCGGCGTCTCGGCGAGACGTGCTGCAGATAACTGCTCGGAAGAATTTTTCCATTCACTTTAGTGGCGACTATCCAAACAAAGTCAACAGCACATCCGATTGTTTCAAGTTTTGTCGACGGACAGTTTTGCAAGGAGGCTTGATGCTTGAGCCGTCCTTCCACGCCGTGACACCGGGATCTCCCGGCATGCCGTCAGAGCATATCTGGCCGAATACTACAGGAAGGCCAAAAACCAAAGCAAGCTGTAACTCCAGCCGAGATCATTCCTCCATGCCACTTATAGAAGAACGCTCGAAACAAGGAAGGGTTCCTCAAAGTTAGGTTAAACAAATATATTAGTATTTGCGTGAAATGTAACCTGCTTGAACGACGCGTTTTAGTCAGGATAAATGTTCTTGTGAACTTGCGCTACAAGATATTTTTTGTACCATAATCGGTATTCTCCATGGTGTATGCAAGTTTGTTTCTTTTTTTAAGAAAAAATACTAGGCTTAAATTAGGTACCTTCTCACGAGGCGTAGCGTGTGTGGAGATGCTACAGTCTGAAAGAGCCCGAATTTCATACTGGGTTACCGGTTTATTGAAAATACTTCCTTTCCCGAAGTACTTTGCCATTCCGCATAATCCTCATAAGAAAATTGATTACTTGTATAATCCTTCTTTTTTTACTTCTTTAAGTTAATAATATAGAGATATGTATAAATACACCTTGTATTAAGCATAATATCCCACGTACTCATCAGCTTTACCTCATTTAATTATGTTAGATCGAAGACGACGAAGACCCTGACAAGATGTCAATATCTAAGTTAATAGGCATGCAATTGATGCCAAGCTGCGAATTTTATGTCACATTCAATTGGGGCGCACGCAGCACCGAGAAAATGCTGCCCCCAAGGCCGCGCCACCGCGCGGGTGCAGCGCATGACGCACTACCAAGTGAACACGAAGCCTTCCGCCGTGCAACGCGCTTGGCGCGGTCACTTCAAGGGCAAAACATAAACGGGTGGACCATTGAACAAAATCCGCCGCGAGTGAGGCGGCGGCGCGCGCCATCTAGCGAGAGATGTGACTAACAAATTGTGCTTTAAGCGGTTGATCAAAGCACGTATTTGTTACCTCCGAGATTCCATCAAAAGCGTAGAAGAAACACATAAGATACAGAAGAAGGCGTTTTGTTGTACATATGCGATGATATTGACAATAACCGTGCCGTGATATCTATGGTATGCGCGATGGGAATTGCTCTCCCGGATCCCTGAACCAGCGTTGAAACGGGACCTCCCGATCTGCCGGTTTCATTCCCTCGTTTGTCTTGTCCGGGATGGCTGCCTCCGCATTGCCCCAAGGATTGCTTTACGCGATGCTGAACGATACTGAAGACGGTAAGCTGACATATATTTTTTTCTTTCATCTTTACAAAAACCGGACACTGAGGAGATAGTCTCCATCTTTGTGTATTGTCCCATATTGGTTTTCCTGTAAAGGTGAACAACAATCAGCTTCTTTATTAAGTATTCTTTAAATTTTTCTTGTAGAAGTGTCCCACCCGTATAGTGAACTTGCTCAGGCCGCTCCTGTGAAGTAACAATAACTCATTGACGCTTCTCATAAAGCATGTTCTGCAATACTGAATCTGAACATAGTACTTTTGCTTGAGGGCAGTTTATCTAGCCAGGTGCCAGACATACAATTTCTCCTCTTTCTAAAGCGGGATAGATTAACGCGGTTTTTTGTTTGCTTACTAGGCTCTTGCATTTTAGTTCCTACCAGAATAGTACACATGCAGAATCTGCTTTAGACCACCATATCTCTGCATCTTCATGTACCTGTTTAGTAGCTACACAAAAAAAGCTGTCGACAAAAGGAGTTGTAAATTCACCCTGCGTTTAATTGCCGATGCAGACTGCTTGGCAGACCCACAGACCCAGAACCTGTCGCAAGAAAACCCTACAAAAATGCAAGGAGGTATGTGGAAACATTATGTGTTGAGACACAGAAGTTTTACTTAACTTTTCTTTTTTGCAGCAGAGTGGACTCCAGGGGAGTCGAAGCTGCTTCTTGACTACTACTCAAAATATTATCCTGAGATAGGGCCAATGAAGAAGTTCAAGACAAAGAAGGCAATGTTTGAACAAATCGCCCTTGACCTGCAATCAGTTTTGGGCATATCACGGACAGCA